CTACATTGTGTTGCAAAGGCCCAGCCATTAACAACTGTTAAAAAATTGTTACTCACCTTTGTTCCTTTCTCATTGTGATTCCTTGAATATGGGTAGAATGCACCTAGTTCCATCCAGCGAATACACAGCTCATACTCAGAGTGTCTGAAGAAGCCACAGATATCGGCTCCTGTCTGAAAGTTTCAAAATTACTCGATTTGGATACAATAATATCATGTACAGCATCAAGGTGATTAAATGTAAGGTAAGAACTCATTAGCTTACATAAGATATTCCAAAGAGACTGAACTCCATCATACCTGAAAGGAAAAACAATTCAATATTACTGGCAGTTGTTTTGGGTTTTTTGTGTCCCCCTTCAGTATGCTATTGCTCACATAGATAATACTTATTGTAGTGCAGAATGAGGAGAAAAAGAAACAATCAATCACTAAACCCAGTGTGTCATGTTTTTCTGCTACAGAGAGAGATGGGAGTTGATTGATTAGGAGCAAATTAAAAAATGAGGGCAGGACACAGGGCACAAAGGTGGTTGGTCCCAAGGGAATAAAGGAGTTCCTAGCACCTGGTGCAGAAGTGAAAAAAAGAATTGACCACAAATTATGTCTCCTCAATTGAATTGCTTACTTGAGATAAAACCACATGAGTACTAAAAGCAAGCAGCTGAAGTAGGAGAAGTAACTGCATACAGTAAATTTAATAGAGATACTCTTCTTTCTCATACCAATAACAGATTTAGTTAGCTGATCCCAAGCTGCAGTATTATCACCAAGCCAGTGTCCTGCCCATCTTCCACTGGTGGGATATGTGGAACGGGTGATAACGATCCCACGCTCCTTGGTGGCACTCTGCAAACCTCTGACATTGAAAATAGAGCAAAAACCAAATTACATGAGAAATATTACATGGTTATTTATTATATAAGATTCTCTGAAACTAAAGGGCTTTTATTTTCATAGCGAAGGAGGGCATTGCTGTATGCATGAATATGCATACATCCAATGCAAATGCTTTTTATAGCAATTTACTGTGATTCACACATCAACAGTAGCTCAGCAGTGTCAGCCAACCTGTAACTGAAAAAAGAACAGGCAGGCAAGGACATGTTAAAATCATAAAATTATTGAATGTTTTGGGTTAGAAGGGAAAAGATCGCCTAGTTTCAACCCCTTGCCATGGGCAGGAGCACCCTCCACTAGACCAGGTTGCTCAAAGTCCTGTCTAAAATGGCTTTGAATGCTACCAGGGGTGAGGCATCCCCAACTTGCAGATGTAGCCCAACTTGCATTTTTTCATAGGTATCCATGATGTGTTCCAGGGCACATCATTTCTTTTTTAGCATACCTGAAAACTTGCAGCAACAGTTAAAAATAGTTCAGCAAACATCATATCAAAAAGATCATAAGGGGCAAAATAGAGGTGCCAGTTGCCTCAAAATGGACCTGCCAGTTGTCAACCTATCCAGTGGTGAAAAAGTTATTAGAACAAAAAAATAAGTAATGGATCTGTCATAACTTCAGAAATACCAAGATGACATCATATCAATATGAAATGACCGACATGGATTTGTCTGGAAGCAACATATTAAACCATTTTTTTTCTTCTTATGGCAAGTAACAGGTCTTACAGTGAAGGAGTGACTACCAGTGTGTGTGACTACCTTAGCATTAGCTGACCTCTAGGTCTGATCCATTTGGCTTCCTCATAAGCAGAAGGGATTTCAACCAGAGGTTAATTAACTTTTTAGGATGGTGGGACTTATTTTTCTTTCCCAAATTAAAGGTGAAAGCCTACAGGGTGGGAAACATGCAGGCACTTTGGTCTGGGGTATAAAAAGAAACAGCTAGCACCAGGCAAGGGCTGTTGAACTTCTAAGGATACTCTGGCACTAAACTGCTATGGCCTTGCTAAGGATCATTGCTATAGGGAGAGGACACTGTGGCTTGCTGATGACTCAGGAAAAGAGCTCTTGAGGTCTGGAGGTGTGGGTGTGAATGAGCTGGATGGAGAACCAATTAACCAAGTAACCCCATTCCTCAAATACTTAAAAAAAATATTCAGTTTTCTTAAATAAACCCTTGATTGTTGCCACAAAGTACCTGCAGAGGCAACCAACTAAGCTTAAGGGGAAAAAAAAAAAACCCAAAAATCACTGAGTTCAGGGGAATTTATGGTTCCCGGTTGCTCCACTGAAGATAAAAGCACCTGTAGCATATGCTGTTGGTCTATGCTGTGTGACTGGCATGGATGCATTACTGCTCCACTTTCTTAGAACAGCTCCTTTGCAGCCATGCGCGCACTGTGAATCATTACATCAAAGTACTAAACCACAATACTAGTCAGAAAGCTTCACTGATTAAATCACACTGCTTTCCAATGCTAGCTCCACAATAATTGTCTAAACAGCTGCTTCAATAATGCACTATTTACTTATTTTTCTACCAGATTCGCAGCTTTAGTGACACTATAATTACAGAAAAATTGCACAAGTCACTTTAATTACCGTAGTAATTGAACTAGACTAATGTGCTGTAATTATTTCTTCCAAGACAAACAGTAAGTTTTCTAGTATCTTTATTTCTTTGTAACATGCTATCCAACATTTTCAGCCTCTGCTTAGTTTACTCTACTTCAACAATGCTTTGGAAATTACAGATAACATTTCCAATGTAAAGGAAGTGTATATGATGCATAGAACTGCTCAAGGATGAGCATGGCCTGAGTGTTTTGCTAACAGAAGGCACCAACTCTGTGCTCCAGGGCTGAGCCAAAGCTGTATCCACGAAAAGCTATATCCATGAATAGCTATTACATGTCTTCTGTTGCACAAGTACTCCTTCAGTTACTACCAAAGAATAAACTGGGAACTGAGATACATATATATTTTTTGAGAATAATATTTTCTATAAATTTCAAGTGTGAGAATATCTGTAAAAGGTGTGTAAGTTATAATAGTTTCTCTTATGGTACCTCTCAAAACAGCAGGAAATATTTCATTACATTTCTGTTCATATTTACTTCATACAGAGAAATGCTAGTAATATTCTTCTTACTGTCGAATTATTGTCTACTTACAATGCCCAAATTGCATGTGATTTGGCTATCAGCGGAAGTATCAGATATTCCTTCATGTCCTGTCAGCAGTTTCACTCTGCCTTGACTGGCAGCGCTGCCAAGTATAACATCCACTTTGTCAAAAATCCAAGCAGCCTTAATATTTTATTCCTTTTTGGTAATATTAAAGGTAGGAAGGTCTATAAAGTTAAGACCTCTACAGAAACACTGTTCCTTGTTTACTGATTGAATTGGAGATGAAACAGCAGATATGTTACCATTAGATCAGATGTTATCTATAGCAGGCTGGGATACTATTCAGAAAGGAACAGATAGATAATGAGATTTGCCTTGTAAGTGAGAAGATAAATTCTTAAAATTCAAGCTTTATGCACACAGCTTGCAATTTAAAAGACACTGTTTCCCCCTTTCACTACTACTCAATTTGTTTTAAGTAGAGGACATAATCAAGCCCATCTTAAATTAACATTGTTAAAAAGCTATATTCATTTTCCCTCACTGGAAGTGCAGTGTAAGATGAAAACAATGGCAGTGCTAGGAGTAAACCAGCCCATGCCAGCCAAACCTAGAAACAGGAAGTATTTTATATTTTAATTACAGTAATTATGTGAGACTATCCTGGAGTAATTACTGCTCCCAAGAGCTGATCAAAATGTTCAGACCTGTTCTCCATTCTGCCTTGTGAATGAATACCTGAGCAGTCTTCGGATTGACTGCTCCCAGTTACAATGCAGAGCATCACCCTGTCTTAACCTTGGTGGCTGCCTCATAATAGAAACCTCTGCTGAAAAGACAATATGTTGTGTTTGAATGTGTTGGCAGAAAGAAATACTCTATGGCGAGTAATTACATCCAAATTAAACTATATGAGAAATAGCAGCATAGCCATTTTATTTCATAATCCAGGTCAGCAACTAAGCTTGCACAACATAATAATAATGTTTACATGGATGAAGTCCTTGGAACAGGTATATGAAGAATTGCTCCCCAGCTGGGCAAGCAGTAAGTTTCTTTAGTACCAGACGTGGGTAAACTGTCTTTAAAATTTACCTTGAAAACTGTATCTGCTCAGGGTCAGTGATTTTAAAGCCACTAGACTCAAAACAAAGACTTTGCCTGCTTGTCCTGAGACAGTCAGTGATGCAGCTGCAGGCATAGACATGCTTGACCAGGTTTTTCTCTTCTAGCTGGCTCCAGTTCCAGAAAGTATTTATTGTAGTGAAATCACAGAAGCACAGCTTCAGCTCAGAACTGTGCAGACCCAGTTCCCCTTCTGCATATCCCTTCAGCAGCTCAGGTTCATACCACCCTGCCTGCACCATGGGTGGTACTACTGTGCTAACTGGGCAGCAGAGGGACTGAAATAATCCCAACTGCCAGAGATATGGAACTGCTGCTTAAACTTTTGAATGTCAAAGTCCACTTGTAGCTGAACTGAAGAATCAAAGATATTGGAATGAAAACAAAGATTTCTCAGGCATGTTAAATAAACTGATGAAAGTTTACCTATAAGAAATAGACACAGAATATTCATGTGTAACACGTTTTGGAGACAATGAGAAAGTATGCAAACTTCACTTACTCTAGGGTAGGTTTTGTTTGTGACCATCCATAAAGACAGTGGACATCGTAGTGTCTAACTGGGGTACCGTCTGGAAGATATTGTTGACCTTCCATGCATGGAGTTTTGACAATTAAACCATCTGACCGATATCCCAAATCTAATGGAAATGGGACAGAAACACTTACTTCTTAACAATGAACATGCAAAATGTTTATGAATGATTTGAGTTACTTTTCCTTAATTTTCATCATTTCATAGCCAGTCTCTTTTAGGCATGTGTACTGTAATTTATTTATTTATAATTATAAAAATAGCATTTCCAAAATAGGATATTTCTAATATTTCTATGTAGGCATCTGGTTCTGTAAGTATTTTAATAGATCAGTTACAGATGTTCTTAGTAAAGAGGTTCAAAGAGTACAGAGTATATCCAAATTCAGAAGACATTGCAAATCTTTGTAAACATCATCAGATCATCCATATATCCAGAGAAAATGGGTGTGGCAAGGAGTATGGTCTGTGTCTGAATATTGACTTCCTTACAATTCCTTAGAAACTGTTAATAATAACTGAAAACAAGAGTAAGCAGCAGGAGTACGTTAATAAACTATTAATAAATAATTACTAATTAATACTATACACAGGTACTTACATAAAGCCAAGCTAAGAATGCTAATTATTTCAAATATTTGACAGTATAGATAATGGTAATTATCTATTTTAGTTGTATTTTATATATATATATAATCTATTCTAGCTGAATGATAATGAGAGGAGACACAAGGATATTTTCTAAATTTTAATTGCATTATTCATCTGAGAAAACTGCAAAACAGAGAACTACATTCTTTATCATGCCTAAAGCAAAGCACCTAGATCTAAAACAGGTATCAAAATCCATATTCAGGCAAATAACTGAGAATAACTTTATTTTTAAAAATGTCATGCAGTTTCAGCTCCCACTGAAATAGATGGGGTTAAAATGTACCCATACTCTCAGAACTAAAGGGCCACTTTCAGTTAGGAGTTGTGATCTTATATACCTTAACTTTATGTATTTACACCGCATACACCATATCAGAAATTATGTAGTAACCATAATGACCTAAAACTTTTAAGGAGTAATCAGACTTACGAGGCACATATGGTGGCATATTCAAGAGCTCATTTCTACATCCGCCAATGGCACCATTCAGAAAAGTTGCTGGTTCATTCATGTCCTAAAAACATAGAGCAAAACCTGATTGTGTTTGCTTCAAACCTACAAAACACTAAAGTCTAAATTATAAACAAGCAGCACTGTAGAAGAAGCCCTTGCAGCTGTAGTTTCAGTCTGCCATTCCATGTTTTCTTGACAGAATCATAGAATCATAGAATAGTTAGGGTTGGAAAGGACCTTAAGATCATCTAGTTCCAACCCCACTGTGATCACATCTAATGTGATGCCTCACACTAGACAATGTTGCCCAAGGCTCTGTCCAACCTGGCCTTGAACACTGCCAGGGATGGGGCATTCACAGCTTCTTTGGGCTACCTGTTCCAGTGCCTCACCACCCTCACAGGAAAGAACTTCTTCCTTATATCTAACCTTAACTTCCCCTGTTTAAATTTGAACCCATTACCACTTGTCCTATCACTACAGTGCCTGGCATGGTGCAGGGAGACAAGGAGCCACAAAGCATTTCAAGGGAAGAACTGTGAGTCTGTGCTATTTCCCCTTTGCAGAGTGTCACTGTGGAGGAAGAAAGTCACAATATACCAAGGCAGTGCAAATGTACAACCTAGAGCCAAAGTGGTGCCTTTGGTTGAGGGATCAGGTTCTGCCTGGTGCTCTGATTGCTTTCCCTCCAGCCTATTTTTTTTATGCTACCTAATGGCAATTCAACACCAGATACACTCTGAGCTTCATCAGTAGTACTTACACTGTGTAACTTCTCTGCTAGTCTGGCAGAGAAAAAAAACCCACAGAAATTGAGTGCATTTCTACACTTACAATCCACAAGCCATCAAACTTGACGCTTCTTGAGGCGTTGGTGGGATTGTTGTAGAACTCCAGGATTTCTCTCTTCCACCACTCTGCTGTGGAATTGCGCAAGAAGTCTGGGAAAGCAGCATGTGCTCCATAGAGCTGTAAAAATAGTAGGAAAACAAAACAGATACATGTTTGAAAGCATCCTGCTGTTACAATATTGGAATTTGTTTAAAAAAACAAATACATTATTTCTTCATTAACTTTTTTGGCTCTATTAGGAAGTCTAGCTAGTTTCTGCACCTTGTTTTTCTCACCAGATTCATCAACTAGTTTGCTGCTATTTTCCTTAATTCATGTGCTGCTCTGTCTATATTTGAGTCAGTAAGCAAACCATAGCAATATTTACCTGTATTTGGGTTTGCTCAGGCAGTGACTCATTGACTTCCACATCAGGAAGAAATGGCCAGACCTAATAGGACAAAGGACATCATTATAAAATAATCAAAGCACACTGAATGAGCATCAGCAAAAGACAGCTATAACAATTCTTCCTTGATATTTATGTGAATGACAACACAAACTGAAGTCAATTAGTTTGTAGTATTTATTACATGTGTCATTTACAGCCAGGCCAGAATATGCCATTAACAAACTTTCCCACTAAGGATAGCACTGAAGCCTAGGCTGACATGGTGTTTACTTGGATACAGCATGCCTCTACCATCACCATTTTTTACGAAGAGTACCTTGGAATATATAATGTCATCGGTATTGGGCCATTTTATGAAGACATCTTCCTGCACACCTCTGGAGAAGGTAGGATAATTGGTTTCATTTCCAGATATGGTTGGATCCTATAATTAAAAACGTTTTTACTCATATGCTCAAAAAACAGTTTTACAAACGCTGTTGAATATATTCTGCATTCTGCAATGATATATTGAAAGTTAAAAGTAGCATTCAAAACTGACCAGGATAATGATAAATCTCATTCCTTCTTCTTTTATTTTGTTAACCAGAGCTGGTAATCCAGCAAAGCGTGTGCCAATGGTGAAGTCCAGTTGCCTTTCCATATAGTCAATATCTGCATATTGGACATCCTGCAGTTAAAAAAAAAACAAAAAACAAAAAAACTTCTATTTTGCCACATACAAATTTGTTGAAAATCTGCCAAAATAAATTACATACTGAACTTCTGAACTGTAAAATTGGAAGCAGCTGTAACTTTAAGCTAAAGCTATTAAATGAATATTACACATCCTATCAGCAAGTCCACTACAAAATAAGCCCTTCACTGGTGCATCTAGTCTGAGGGTAGAAATTAGCACATGACAGAGAAAAAAGTCCTGGATTTGTACATACAAGTATGTACACAGAAACTGTACATATCTTACCCTATCTGTAACGGAACAGTTTAAACAGTTGTTCTGTATTGAAATCATGATGTTTATTACATTTAAAATGAAGAGTCATATTCAATTTACAGTATAATTTTGTTAGATATAGGTGCTATTCCAACTTTCCCAGCAACAACCTGTGCCAAATCATAGCTGATAAGACACAGAGCAATATGCCATAGAATGTTAGAACCATACCACTGAAATGGTGATGATTCATTTTATTTCTTGCTTGTTTTTCTTGTTGATCATTGCTGTTTCATAGCCAGCATGGCTAGAGCCCATGACTGACTAAGGCATCTGGGTGCTGCTTTGGTATGAATGTTAAAGAAATTACAGCAGCCTGTGGCCTACATTTAACATGGCTCAGAATGTAGAGAGATGTATGAGGGTAATGGTTTTAAATTGAAAAAGGGGAGATTCAGGCTGGATGTGAAGAAAATATTCTTTACCATGAGGGTGGTGAAATACTGGAACAGGTTGCCCAGAGAGATGGTAGATGTGCAGTCCCTGGAGACATTCAAGGCCAGGCTGGATGTGGTTCTAGGCAACCTGATCTAGATGAAGATGTCCCTGCTCATTGCCAGGGGTTGGACTAGATGACCGTTGAAGGCCCCTTCCAACCCAAACTCTTCTGTGATTCTGTGGTTAGCTCTGGCATAAAAATAGTCTGCTCTACTCTACCATGGTGGGGGTTTTGGTTTTGTGTTTTTAAGTGGTCTTTGTTAATACCAGGAAGTCAAAAGTTCAGGCATGAGTTCAAATGTTAACTGCTACCAGCTTACATAGGGAATCCTAGCTGCCTTCATCTCCTCCACCAGCTGGGCAATTTCTGAGTCATTCCTGTACCCATAGCGGCACAACTGGAATCCCAAAGACCAGTAGGGTGGCATGACTGGTCGTCCAATCACCTAAAAATAAGAAAGAATATTTGTGGTGAATAGCTGAGATGAGTAGACCAAACCAAACCAACCAACCAAGCAAAAACCAGTTTGTAACAGAGTAAAAGGCCTACTGCAGTGTATTCCTGGACAACAAGTTCTGGAGTTGGGCCCAAAAACATGTAGAAGTCAAGGATTCCTCCTATGGTGCGGTATGTCAGGGCAGGTGTTGGCTGGAATGTCACATCTGGAAATGGAGGAAATGAAATGAGAAAAGGGTGCCTTGACTTGCCACTGTTGCAAAACACTGATAATAAAAATAAAATACAGAAAATAAATCTAAGGTTTTCTTACCCATTGCATTGCTGTTAAGCAAAAGAACTCCATGGGCATTGCTATCTTCTTCAAGAGCCATGTAAAATGGCTGATAACCATAGGAATTCAACTTGTACTGCAAACAACATAACATGCATTTTACTAGGGAAATATCAAGCATTCACTAACTTACATTTATTAATAAATTTAATATGAGACATGACTGCCAAGCATACAACAAAAACTCCAAAATTACATATTTAAACCCTACACACCTACAAAGCATACCTACAGAACACTACTTTCAACTTCACAATTTGAGTCAGTTTTCTTCAGATTGACCAGGCAGAAAGGAAAGCAAAGATATTACTGCTAATGAGAAAGTGCTTCCCCAGGAGAAAACTTTCCCTTCTTTTCAAAGAGTAGCAGGTATCTGTATGATCAGAAGATGCTGGTGGCATTCTGTTCACTTTCATTTACTCAAAAATATATACAAACCTGAACTGGAAATTCAACTATTTCTTTGGTCATTCCCTAAAAACTGCAAACATTGTGCTATCTAATAGGCAATAACACAGGTATAAACATAGACACAAGATTTCTGATTTACCTCTGTAAATACTAAATTAATCCCAAAGTAGTAGGAGTTCTCCTGACTCATGTTTAGCTTTTAGAATAATTAGCTGAGAAGAATAAAAAAGGAGGAATGTGGTATTATTTCTAAGCCATTTTTTATCTTCTGACATCTGACTCCACACATTGGTCTTGCTGGTCACAAAGAATATGTTTAGAGAAGACCATTGCCATTGAGACACAATTCAAATTATAAACCATGATAATTACAATCAAAGCATTATATGTGTCCAGTACCAGCAGGCATCCACTGGACTTTGAAGTCCTGCTGGATACCTCCACACATTAGCATCATTGGTCCAAAAAGCACATTTGTTTCCACTTACAGTAGGAGGCTGATCCCTTGTGAACATTCCCCAGGTGTGCCAGCTCATGTTACGTCGAAACATGGTGTGTTCAGTTTCTCCAAATCCATATATATATTGGGATGCTAAACGGGTAGAAATCTGAATGAACATGTCACTGAACGTGAAGGTGGGTAGCTGCGAATCCCAGCTAAAATCGAAAGAAGAAAATAAAAGCAAGAATACAGTGTTTTCAGGGCTGTGTTTAGCTGACACTTTTTTTAGGCTACTCTTTTTCTCTGAAAATCTCATTCTTCAGTAAAGGTGGAATAAATCTGTTATGCTTATGGAGAAAACTTTAAGCACATGAAATGGGGCTGTCTAAGAATTTGATACACAATTTAGAGACACAAAGTCCTCTGTGTCTCTCAGAGAGATATATATTATACACAGGCATCATGCACACCAAGTTGCATCATATTTTGGCAATATAGTGAAAAAAAAAATGTTTCAGGAGAGTATAATCTTATTTTCCTCCCAGGCTGATCCTTGGTGCCAAATGGAATACAGTAAATAAGGTTCTTTTTACAGTTCACTGGACTTTTGTTGCAGATTACACTGAAACTGTATTTGTTGTAAATCAGCATGTTTACAGTCAGAAACCAAACTGATGGTGCTCTGCCAAAGAATTACATCGTTCTAAGAGGTTGAACTGTAGTTTGAACGATTACTCTGGTTGGCAAAAAGGAACTCAGCTTGCAATTAAGTTTTGGGTATTTCTTTAAAAAATTACGTAAGTTTTGGGTTGGCTTTTTTTTATAAAACCATAACACATGCAGCTGCTAACGTTTCCTGGTTTTTAACTCTGACTTCAGCTTAATCAAGGAAAAAAATGCAGCTCCTATCAGACTTATTGGCTGTCATGTTACCAAAATCAATCTGCAAGTTAGTTAAGACCCTACTTCTATTTTTTTTCCTAACCATTCATCAAAACCAAACCAAATGATCAGTCCTTAACGATCAGTGCTGTGGTCACCTGTGGAAAAATTTAGGAAACGTGGAAAATTGTTGTGCCTCTCAGACAACTGGGAACTGCACGAGAAATGGTCTTTGGAGTTGTCTGTGTTCCACACTTCAACATGTTGTAGAGGTCTTTTAGCAAGTGTCAGACTATGAAGTGACCAGGGAGAAATCTTAGATAATTATGAGAAAAAAAACAGGATATTGCTTAGGCACTTTCTCTGAACTCTCCCTGGTCAGCGTTCTCATACAGTGCAATGGTGAAACCATCTCCACTGGAGCAGCATCTGGCATTTGGCAGACAGAACCATTTCCTGGGAAGGGTACAAGAGCCAGTCTTAATGGACTTAGAACATAGTACACAAGGAAATGGTTTGGCTTGAAAAGAGCTAACTAAACCAACTGAAAAAAATAAAATTACTATGGCTTACATGAGTCTTCCTGTACTTTTGCGACGAACTTGTATACCAAATGGTTTTTTCTGAACTGATACTTCATAGAGTCGTTCCTCATCCGTGCTTGTTGGGGAGCTCGGGAGATCTAGTGGTACTGGAACCTCATATCGTGCGTTTTGATAATCATAGATCTATAAAGTAAAAATCAATTCATTTCAATAAATGAGTTGTTTGAAATTTTATCTATAGTAATAGAAATCTGAATCTGACAGAAAATTGTTGAAAACTCTTTGCTGAATGTTTTCTTTCAATATGTATTCTTTGACCAATTCATTCACAGTAATTTGTTTGGGGAAAAAAAACAAACCTTTAGGATTTATTTTGGATCAGGAATGGTTTGTCTAATTATTTATTGAATTTAAAGTATATACCTGTATTTAAATTATAGTTATATATATGTATATAGAGTGAATATATTTCTGATTCATCTCTTAGACAACTTTGAAAGATTCTTTTTAAAGTTTACTGTATTCTGAAAGCTGACAAAAGTTAGTTTTTTATGCCTGGCTGCTTTAAAGCACCACAATTATTTCAGTATTATTAAATGCACAGTAATAAATTATGGTTTAAACAATAGTGTATTACAAATTTTAGAATAGTAGAATGATTAACTTAAAAATAAACTGTATGGTCATGATAGTGCTTATAGATGAATTTGCCTGTATATTAATAAAATGTCTTCAGTTCCAGAGTTTGTGGTTGACATTTTAGGTATACATTGACATTATATCTTTGATTCATATAATTTCATTGTAAAACTGAGTACAAAATTCTAGGACAAAAAATATGCAAGCTAAGAGTGATAACACTTGATTAGAAGGAGAAACATATGTAGGCAAGGGTGTTACAGTCTGTGTAATATAAAACAGACTAGAAAAAGCCCTTACAATTTCTATAAATAAGGCTATTTTTAACAATGGGACATTGCATACTCATAGAAATTCTGGAATGACATTACCTTAAATTGCAGCATGTGGTTGAGATGATATTTCACCTCCAATCGTAGTGTACTAATTGGGGTAGTGTATTCCTCATTAGCTTTGGTGTTGGCACTGTTTAAGATGAGGTTGGCTGCCAAACCTGATGAGGTGTATTCTATTTGGTCTATAGAATAAGCATTGTCAGAGCTGTAATAGCAGGATGGAATATCTGGGTCTGATGTTGCCTGATGCAAACAGAAATAAGTTACAGGTTAGTGAGCTACACTGGCCTGCTGCATTTTTTGTTAGTTATCAGCATGGAATCCAAAGCTCCCATTTTTATCAGATATCTATCAACTAGTGGAAAAACTTATTCAATTAGTGAACAGAACCCATTGATCTCTACACTAAATCAGATATAAACAAACGATCCAGTGAAGGCTGTACAAATAGTTCAGTCAGGAAACTGAATGCTTGTACTATGAAAGTGAATTTAATTTCCCTGTATCTGTGATCTTCAACTCAATCCCACAACATAAATTAGTCTTGGCCTCTTACAATTCCTAAAGCTTCCTCCCTTTTAATACCCTTGCTCTCTGGTCCCTGGCTGCCTTCAAGGGGATGTGCCCAAAACCCATTGGATATTCAGGTGAGACCTTTCCATTGGCTTTATTCACACAAATTACCCTTAAAATATCCACTGAGAGTTACATCCTATTTATTGAAGATCTCCTGACAGCAAGATCAAAATTACTTTCAGTTTCCTGCTACAGTTGAACATAAACACTCAAACTAGGTATTCTGAGGTCACATGAGCTGGTGTACATTAACGCATTAGCCTTTCACCTGTGGATATTTGCTGTCAATCCTGCCTAGTTTTTCACATGAAACTATGTCTGCTCTGCACATTTTGTTAATGAATATTTATTCATCTGCTTTCACCAAAATCGAAGCACTTCTCAAGTGCTTGAGCAAGCATTCAAAACATATTCAATTCATAACAGGACCAGAGTTTCATTTCACAAGAACAGTCACTTCCAAAAGTCCAAAATTTCAAAAAATATTCCTAATAGTGCAACAAAACCAGGACAGTCCAACAGCTACTTCAGCTGTTGCTGGTTCAAGAGTAGGTAGCAGAGAATGTTGGTCTTCATGACCAACAGTAGGAGGTATGTCCAGGCTGTAAAATTTAGATTTAGAGGATCATGGAGTAATTTAGTTGGAGGTACCCTCTAAAGTTTAACCCTGCCAGGGCACACAGCTCCCATATAATATCCTATTAATATCCCATGGGATATTAATAAATGAAGCATTAATAAATGAAGCATTAATAAATGTTAAATAACTGCATGTCAGAGATTATGATTTCAGAATAGCTCCTCAATATGGATATATGCAATTAAGTTCACATAAGAATCAAAACTTTTGGTGGATTTAAGGATTTCCTCCCAAACTGAGATGCAGAGGAATCAGTTTGACTTAAAATATACTTGAGTGACTATGAAGATGCAACAAAGGCGATATGCCTCACAGGCCACAGTGCTAGTGAAGCAGAAGAGGTAGCTGAAGATACTATTCTATTTTTTCATAACTCTAATATAACTTTTTTCCATCTTTCAAAAAATACCACATTTTAGACTTTGAAAGAACTTACATAGTTGGCAACTACCTTAGATTTAGTGAGGTGAATAACATCTGTTAGTACAGCTGATGTCTGTGCCCCCATTTTATTTAAATCTGACAAATCTGCCAGACTATTTTTTTTCCACTGTAACAGCTATAAAGAGAAAGCTATGGTCCTGAAAATGTTTTTGTCTCATTAATTTAGAGAAATTATTTTTGCTTACATCCCAGACACAGCCAAGTTGTTCACATCTTTCTTGTGTTGGATTGGGACTGGGATAACAATCAAACCTTTCATTGACACTCGGTTGTTGAGTCCATTCTACTGTGTAAGATTTTCCTAGTTCAAGCTGAAGTCCTGTTATATGAGCAACCTGTAAATATTAAACAATAAACAGTTAATAAATCCTACATCACATCCATTTGCCCTTCAGTCAGCAGAGAACAATACATTTTGTTACGTGTAAATTCACAAACTTGTCCTGTAACATTTGATGTAGTCTCACTTTTGCAAACACACATAACTGACATGCTTGCAGATAAAATCTAAAAAATTAATCTAAAAAAAATTAGTCAATCCCACAGCTTCCATGGAATAAAGCAGGAAAAAGATAAGGACACAGATCCTTCATGTTTAGAAATATGAATGCAAGAAGTAAAAAAAAAAGTATTTTGATTCAATAACTGAGATAACATAACAGATAATTCAGGTGCTTGCAATAATTAAGGAGGGTGTACAATGCAAATTCAAAGCAATGCTGGAACGATCCTTAGTGTGGGAAAGCACTTTCATGAAAGCTCCCCACTAGCAGCAACGCACTTGCTTTGGACATGAATGCTGTGTGTCGATGCTTTCTGGATTCACCGTGTGAAAAACTCTGCACAAAGTGATAAAGGAGATTTAAACAGGGTGCTTGATTTTGTTTTAAAAATCAATGCATAAATATTAATTTAAAACATAAGTATTTGTAACCATCCTCCAATATTAAAATGAAATCATAAAGCTATTCCTCCTATTAGACACTAAATGTTGCTACATGAATAACTGCATAACAAAACTTTCTGTGGGACTGGGGGTCTGAGAGAAAAATTTAGATACACTTTCTGTACAGCTGAGTTGAACGCAATTATACTTCTGTAATAAAATAGATGTCATATTTCATTGAAACGGCATGACTACTGAGTGCTGTCTTTTGCAATACATAAAATAAAGTGATGCAATTTCATAGATGTTTACTTTCTGGTTTCCTGTTCCTTGTTACCTTTTCTGAAGGATAATAGGTGATATTATGTGGAGAATTTTCCACAACATTGTTCTGAGATACAGTAACTGCCGTTATTTCCTGAAGCGATCCAAATATCTTGATTTCTTCAAACATCAAATTGTTTGGATCAGTGTAATTGTTGTTTATAGCAGTCATACTTAGAATATTCTGAAAAAAAAAACCAGTGAGCATATTTTTATTAAAAAACTTCTATCGAAATACTCCTGATTTACCAATTTATTCTAAATCTTCATGTTCCAGCACAAAGTAAGCCAATAGTTTTTTTACCTAACATATTAATTATTACCCTGATTATTATCACAGTAATGCTTCTCACCATGTATATAATATGCTTCATAGTTGAGTTACAGCTTCCTTTTTTTTCGCTTGTTCCAAAAA